CCATGACAGCGCCCCTTACCAGCAGGAAGTATTTTGGAAAGAACGACGCCCAAATTCCCAAATATTGTCTATAAATGTTTGTTTTCATTTAAATGGACTTGGTTATATAAAATAAATAAATTTTAAAAAAAAGAATGGCTAAAAACAAAAACACCAAAAACAATTTATTCTTGAAAGTATGTGGAGGAACAATCCTCCACTGCTGGTGGGATTGCAAACTCATAAAGCCACTTTGGAAATCAGTATAGAGGTTCCTCAGGAAAATGAAAATCAGTCTACCACAAGATCCAGCAATTCCACTCTTAGGAATATGTGCCAAAGATGCACATTCATACAACAAGGACATCTGTTCAACTATGTTCATAGCATAGTTATTTGTAATAGCTAGAACCTGGAATCAACCTAAGTGCTACTCAATGGAAAAAGCAACAGAATCTTGGAACTCACAAACAAGTTGATGCAACTAGAAGAAACCATCCTGAGTGAGGTAACCTAGTCACAAAAGGGAAATCATGGATATACTCACTCATATATGGATTTTAGACATAGAACAAAAGTTACCAGCCTAAAATCCACACTGCCATAAAACCTAGGAAATAAGACAGACCCTAAGACAGACAGACATGATCCCTGGAGAAGGGGAAAGGGACAAGGTCTCCTTAGCAAATTGGAAGCATGGGGGAGGGAAGAGGAAGTTAAAAGAAAGAGAAGATGGGAAGAAGGCAGGAGAGGAGGACATGAGGGAGCAGGAATATTGAGTCAGGGAAAGAGATACCATAATAAAGGGAGCCATTATAGGTTTTAAGAGAAATCTGGCATTAGGAAAATATTCAGAGATCTACAAGGATGACCCCAACTAACAATCTAAGCAAGTGGAGAGGCTACCTTAAATGCCCTTCCCTGATAATGAGATTGATGACTACCTTATATGCCATCCAAGAGCCTTCACCCAGTAGCTAATGGAAGCAGAAGGAAACACACACAGCTAAACACTTAGCTGAACTCCTGGAATCCAGTTGCAGAGAGATTAGAGTGATGAGCAAAGGGGTCAAGACCAGGCTGAAGAAAACCACAGAAACAGCTGACCTGAACAAGAGGGAGCTCATGGACTCCAATCTGATAGCTGGGAAACCAGCATAGGACTGGCCTATACTCCCTGAATGTGGGTGTTAGGAGGACTGGGCAGCCTATGGGGCCTCTGGTAGTATATCAGTTTTTATCCCTAGTATGTAAATGGACTTTGGGAGCCCATTCCAAATAGAGGGATACTCTGTCAGCCTAGACACATGGGGGACCCTGCCCCAAATGATATGGCAGATTTTGAAGATTCTCGCATGGAAGGCCTCATCCTTTCTGGTTAGCAGAAAGGGGATGATGGGATGGGACTTGGTTGGGGGGTACATGAGGGGAGGGACAGAGAACTGAGATTGACATGTAAAACAAGCTTGCTTCAAATTTAAATAAATAAAAATAAATTAGGGAACATGATATTTGGGCAGTGAAGAGATGTTTCCTTAGCACATTCTCATAAAGATTGTCTAACCATACTCATAAGGACCTGTGGGAAGGTGTCATTGTGAGAATGACTGCCAGGTTCTTCTGTGGCCTCTGTCTCAGCCCCTGTGCCACTGGAGCTTGCCAGGCAGCTCTAGCACTTGTTTTGGGTTTGCTACTTGAAAGATTTGCTTCAGATAGTGTCTAACTTTGATCAGTCTATCCTCAGATATTCCAATAGCTTCAGTTTTTTTATGGGGGGGGGTGGGTGTAACCAAACACCACCTTCTGGAAGATTATTTACAAATATCATTACCTCCTTGGCATTCCTAATTGCTTTCATTGATATCCTTTGTTCCCCATGGCATTAACTATAAAGTCCTCATGCCCATAATTTTTTTATTTGTAATAGATTTCTGGCTTCTCCTCTAATGTGTGTAGTCCGAATGATTTGATAACTTTGTTGTTTTTCACTGATACATCCAAAACTTCTTTGAATGAATAAACTGGAAGAGCTTGCTTTCTATACATCTAGAGAAACCTAAAAATTTTCCATTGTCTCTCACAACCCACTATAACTGCAAGACGCATCACTAATGCCAAGTGCACACCCCAGGAGGGAGGTTCCAGGACATGTCATTACCTGCAGCTTTGTAACTCACTCTTTCATAAGCCTCACATTACGCTTGACAGTTGTCTGATCCTGCTCAGTCTTGGGAGATTCCACTTGTCACCATTTGGTATTGCAATCTCCCACAGCATAGAGTCTGAGATCTTGATGGTTGAGAGCAATTCCAATGTGCTTTGAATGTGACAGATGGCATTGAAGAAATTAGAATTTTCTTTAATGAAGTAAAAAAATAAAGAAATGGAAATTATGTAGCATATGCTCACTCAGTTCTACACTAGATTATTTTGATTTTCTTGGAGAGATGAAAATGAGCAGACAGAGATTGGGCACCTTTTATCTGTGAAAGAATTCCTTCATATTGATTTCAAACAAGAGTCAACTAAACATGGTTGTTTGCTTCAAAGAGCTTTTCTCTTATTACCAAATATTGTTTGCTTACATTGAACTCCAAGGTAGACAGGAGAAATGAATCATGTCGTGATGAAAATTTCAAGACTTTAGTTTGCAGTCCTTAACTTTTATATCAATTTAACTGTTCTTGTTTATTTGAAGATTTGTTGCATAAGAAATTAGGTATTTTCTTTGAATAATGGTGTAGAAAAGGAGACTTTGTAGAAAATCACGATTTCTGATAAGGAAAGAGGAAATGAGGTGAAGCAGCCCATGTCATAATGGTGGACATTGTATGAGTTGAAACCATGTTCCCATGTCAGGTAAGGCTTGCCCTAGCTTAGGAGAGAAACTGCTGCCAAAGAAGAAACTCCCTATTTACCCTGTTTACACAGCCCCCTCATCCTGTAAGACATGGCTGAGTTTGAGAAAAGATGCTCTGCTCGTTAGGCTCTGCTGAACTCTCTCCTATGTACTCTATGTGTGCTCTTCCTAGAGTTTAAGACTCGGCTCTTCAAATGTCCATCACTGTGAAAGCCCACCTTGCCACTCCCTGCCAATATCCTAATCTCACCTCAATTTTCATCTCCCTGTTAACCACCTGCCCAAGTATTTGCCACACTAAACAGGAAAAGTAGCTGGAAAAGAAGAACCAAGTCACTTTGGACCTGAAGCCAAATGGTCCTCCTGCTATGCAGGTCAGAGTTTCCCTTTTGTAATAGAGATTTCCAGCCTTGTGCCTTTTATTTTTGTACCTTTTATTGGAAAAGGGGGCCTCTCGAGATAAAAAATAAATAAATAAATATAGAAAGTCACTTTAGAGTTTTTGTCTGTTTGCTTCTATTTGTTTTTTTTTTTTTTTTTGGTTGTTGTTGTTGTTTTTTGTTTTGTTTATCTCCCCTTTGGTCTTAAGTCCACTAAGTAATGGATAAGTAGAACTATGATCTAAACTGTCCCAAGTAGAAGAAAGTAATGACATTATGTCCATTGCCTCCCAGAAAAATGAGAAGCACCTCCTGGTTATTCCTTGCCCACCATAGATCCCAATTATCCCAATAAACTCATCTAAATTGAGGCTCTACTTAAGACACCCGAAAGACAAGATTTCTGATACCCTGTTTCCTTGATTTCCCATAGCATCCTACCTGTTAACATCACATGTAAAGACGGTGGGAGGTGGGGAGTATTCTTCAGGGTCAATGCTTAGACTGCATAATTGTCAGCACCTGAAAAAAATCACATTACTAGTTTAATCACTTAAGCTGAACCAGTAAGTGGGTGAAGCACCTAGGATGAGTCATGGTTGACAGGTAAGCAATGGAGATGCAGTGGCCCCAAAGTCTCCCATTCCCTTGAGGCAGGGCTTGTTCCTTCTATAAAAAGCCAGCGTGAAGAGGATGCTATGCCAAATCCCAGTGACCACACTGTCTCTTCTGCATACCAGGTAAGCTTGGATACTTTACCATTTATTTTATGCATTTATGTGACTTTTTACTGTAGCCTCAATTGCATTTGGGGTGTCTTTTTCTTCTCTTATTGAAATTTAGTAGTAGTGATTATATAGATGAATCACCTGAATTATAGACCCTAGAAACTTTCTTTTAAAAGTAATAATGACTGAAGGAACTTCAGGCATAATTGGTGTGACCCATCCATCCTCGCTGTGTCTGTGTCTGGGTAAGAACACAACCTATTGGGCTTCTAGTGACATCATTTCTTTACCTACAATTTTAATGCTGAGAATTTTATTCTTTCAACAAAAACATTTGTTAAGAGTTTGCTGTATCTGGTGTTTTTGGCTGTATATAATGTAGACAAAGGAGAATTTTCTCTATAAAACTGCATCTATCTCACTTAGATGAATAAGAACTAAAGATAGTCCTGTGAGGGGTCAGTGCCAGGAAACAAGTGCAAGTGTGATGGCAGTTTGGGAAAGCAAGAAAAATTTCTGCAGTGCTCACTATAGGAAAGCTGCCTAAAACTGGCATAGCAGGTGGTCTGTGGCAGTTGAGTAAATCTGAGCAAGCAGGCATGAAAGGATCACCTGAGAAGGAGGATTGTATGAGCCACATGTTATGGTGAGGCATTCTGGAGTGGCCCCGGGCATTCTGCAGGTGACGAAACACATTATTTATTGCACATGAGCAGTGGGCTATGAGCATCTTATTGTTTTTATTTTCTACATGACTTCACATTTCTATATGAGCCCATGTCATCAGTCTCACACTCCTGCAAAAGCCCTCTGTTGTGGTGCTAGCTGTGTCTCATGACAGGTAGGAAGAGTGGGGATCCAGAAAGACCCTGCTTGTTCAGAACCACACAAATCACATTTGAGGACCTCCATGGTAAAGTACTATCTGTGATGGAGAGAGAAAGGAGAACCTCTACTTCTTCAGACATTAGAAGTGTTATTGCCAGTGGTTTCTTGCAAAGTCATTCCTTCTAAACCATCTATTCTGTGTTTAGGTCCAGCCATCTTTGAAGCATGAGTTCACACCAGCAGAAGCAGCCCTGCACAGAACTTCCTCAGCTGCATGAACAGCAAGTGAAACAGCCTTGCCAGCCACCACCTCAGGAGCCATGTGTTTCCCAAATCAAGGAGCCCTGTGATACCAAGATTCCTGAGCCCAGCCACCCCAAGGCCCCTGAGCCCAGCCACCCCAAGGCCCCTGAGCCCTGTCACCCCCAGGCCCCTGAACCCTGCCACCCCAAGGCCCCTGAGCCCTGCCACCCCAAGTCTCCTGAGCCCTGCCACCCCAAGGCCCCTGAGCCCTGCCCCTCAACTGTCACTCCAGTCCTAGCCCAACAGAAGACAAAGCAAAACTAATGTAGTCCAAAACTGTGCCTTGGAGAACTGATCACCACATGGATGCTGGGCCCCAATTTCTATTCTGTCTGAGCATACAATGCCTTTACATCACAGTCTCACCTCTCATTTATACCTTATAATGAAGTACTACAAAGACACTTTTAGCTATAAATGTGGGACTTCTGAGTCTAAATTCAACTGAGAACTTGGTCCCTGAGCTCGTGTGTCCACTCAAAACTCTTTTGAAGAGGGACCAAGTTGAGTGATGCGGTTTTGTTATGTCTCCATTAAATCTCTTTTCACGCCTACTATATATTGTTGTCTGACTCAGTGACTTCTTCCTTTTCCCTGTGAAGCAAAAGCTATTCACAGACACAGGAGGGCAGAAGGGGACTTCCTTTGGTTGACACCTGATCCTGGCACTGAAGAAAGGGAGGCAAGCTCCTTCCACTGAGGGTGGCTAGAGTGCCAAGCAAAGTTATGTTATGCCATATGAGGTTATTGTCTTCGACATCCAGGACAACACAGTGAGTCACTCTGGAGTTTAACAGAACCTGCCCAAGCTGATTCTGATGTATTTAACATGGAGTGCTCTGTTCCTAAATTAGGTTTCTTGGTTGTCAACATATTCTACTGTTTCTGTTCACATCAAGAAATCTTCCAACAGAATTAAATCTGCCCCTTCTTATATATTTCTTCTATATACCTATAATTCAAACTCCCCCCAACAAACTCTAAGACTCTCAGCCACCACAATTGTTGTCTCTTAACCACCTAGCCATCTCTCCAAAAGCACAATTGTTATCTCAACCAGCCTTCTTTTGTTTTTGTCAGGTGTCAGGGAGCCTCTTAGAGGGGCATCTTTCACACTCCATCCCACAACCCTAGACACACACACACACACACACACACACACACACACACACACACACACACTACAGGCCTCATAGAGTAAAACACAAAACCTGGTTCACCAGATACTCAGATCAGAACTAGAAGGAAAGCTTGTATCCCACGAGGAAATATTTGCCACTTTCAGGAAGCTGAGTGAATCTTTTAGCTGCCCATATAACAAAATTATTCATGTCAAAGATAAGTGTCTACAACATGTCCGTTGTCCCTGTTGGAGAGTTTTACATACCTATCAACACTAGCCTGAGTTTCAGAAGACTGGATGTTCTTGTTTCCTGATCCTGAGGCATCTGAACCTTGGATATGTCTCTCCTTTTGGAAGATAATGTGGACTGCTGCCCATTCTGCAGTAGAGTTGCTGAAATATCTTCAGGACGTGGTCTTAGGGATGCCAAAGCTAAGGCCCAAGGAAATTATGCAGTACCAACTGGACCATCTTGTTCTGATCAGCTTGGACTGGTAAATCCCCCATCTAGTCAAAAGTCTCTAAAAATTCTCCCATCTACAGAACAGGTTTTGAACACTGCATCTGAACACTGAATGGACACCTTTACAGGCAGAGTGAGGGTGTTGTTGGTGTTGGTGGTGGTGACACTTGGAACTAAGCAAAGGGCATTTCATCAAAAGAGACTTTCACGACAGGCATGAATATAAACACTGTGGAAACAAGACACTGAAGTAAGCACACACAAAGTGCCCAGAAAGGACGCTGATGTTGTGGTGGGCCTGTCCATGTCTCGAGAAATTAAACGAAAAACTTCCATAGAGAACATTCACAGGAAAACCTGCTCTGCGCTTTGAGTGAATGGAAGCCCTGGTAAAGAGGTAGATCTTCATTCTTTCAATTCCCATGTATGTTTTGTCTCTCAAACACAACTGCCAGAAGTCTCCATTTATTTTGTAATATCTCTATGAATGTATCCCCTCCCACCCACACCCCATGTTTTCTTTCCTCATGGTACAAAAGAAAATTCCACTTTTATTCAGGAGCAATCTAACATTTAATATTAGATGACTGCATAAGAGATCTCCAGAAAGACATTATCAACTTCATAATGTGCTGATCAATTTCCTAAAACCACATCACTCTGTCCTTTGCAGCACCTAGTAGAGATGTAACTCTGCTTTCTTAGGCTGAGCTCACACCCAGCAGAAAATTGAATGATTCAGGTCTTCTTTCAAGACTCTTTTAATCTGAAAATCTTAGTAATGTTGTGATTATTGTATTTTTAACATTTGGGGGGACTAGTTTTGAGACAGGGTTTCTCTGTTGCTTTGGAGACTGTCCTTGAACTCAATCTGTAGACCAGGCTGGTCTTGAACCCACAGAGATTCACTTGTCTCTGCCTCTTGATCACAGGTTTGAGTCACAACCTCCAGGCATAGTTCAAAGTTAATAGAAGATTCATCCATTTACAATCCCATGTGGACACCCAGGATCACAACATGTGAGGACTAACTGGACCAGGATGCTGGGAATTTGGTAACTGAGCAGGGACTCTGCAAGTCTTATTAACACTGTAAACAACAGTGTGCTTCAAGTATGAGCTAAGAAGATTCAGGATGTGGCACTTTGTGGGCTGTTAGAGAAAAAAGGAGGCCTGCACAGAGAGGAGACAGGCAGTTTTACACCTTGGCCCTTTCCCCTCCTTTTATTCTGTACTCCCTACATTTCAAGAACTGTGAGGAGTATGCACATGGAGCTTGGCCAATTCCCCAAAACTTTGTTTCCCTGAAATATTGTATAAAAATGAGTTTCATTAGAAAATAAAATGTACAGAATAATACCATTAAGTATTATTTTCTGTACTAGTTGCATATTAAGTCCCATATAAGTGACTTATACATGTATGTAATGAAGGGCAGAGGCTGCTGATAACTATTTACTAAAAGCTAATTTTCTCTCAGTCATTATGCTAACCTCATGAAAGTACTAAAAATTCTGTGCCTAGGACAAGTTTATGATGTACATATTAGTCTCCTGAACTGAAGGAAGAGGAATTGAATTTCTGAATACTTAAATAATTTATTCCTCAAAAGAACCAATTGATACTTGAAAGACAATAAGAGAGTTTGAAGTATTTAAAAAAACTATTTAGTATGGCCTCAAATTCAAAGAAAATTGATCATCACAGTGTTGCCTAGATATTCTTTGTAGTTTGACTGTAAATGCACTCCATAATCTCATATGCTTGAATTCAGAGGTTAGAACTGCTCAGAAAGTTGTAGAACTCAAAGTGGGTGGAGCTTTGCTGGTAACTGGGAAGGGGATTGAGGTTTTACAGCATCGCCCCTCTTTTTGTCTGCTCTCCATTTCATGATTGTACATGTAATGTAACCATTTACCTGCCACCATGCCTTCACCACTACGAATATACTCTCTCAAACCGTAGACAAAAATAATCTCTTTCTTCCTTAAGGTGCTTCTTTTGAGGTATTTATGTACAGGAAAAATAAAAGTAAACAATTCCGAATCAAAAGATGGAAAAGTATACTACTCATAAGACATTTTCTCAAAGAAATCTTTCTGTACCATCACCAAAATAGTACTTTATTCAGAAATGAAACAGCAGTGGCAATTGTCTAAGTTGTATAAATCCCTGCTCAGGTGAAAGGCAGACCAGGAAGGCTCCTCTGGGGACACCGAGGTTATACCTTTTTTGCTCTACCCTCTGTGTATCTGGGATACAGGACCACAAAGGAAGGACCATCCTCAGCAGCTCCTTGACAGTAGCAGGAGAATAGTGTCGTGGAAATGCCTTCCCCATCAGAGGTCATCATTGGCATATGGGGTGAGGATTAAAGGTGGAGAAGATTCTTCTCCATCCATGACAGGTTTTGAAGTGAAAATGGAGGCATTGCTATGGAAGTAGATAAGATGGATTCCCTTCTCTTCTCTTCGTCCTGGTGACTGTTGAAGCACTCACATGCTCTTTGGCTGGCACTTCTGCTGGCATGGTGGAGGAGGTTGCACAGGAGTGCATCTCTGCTGGCATGGCTGAGGAGGACAAGGCTCTGGGCACTTTGGAGGAGGACAAGGCTCAGGACACTGTGGAGGAGGACAAGGCTCTGGGCACTGTGGAGGAGGACAAGGCTCTGGGCACTGTGGGGGAGGACAAGGCTCTGGGCACTGTGGAGGAGGACAAGGCTCTGGGCACTGTGGGGGAGGACAAGGCTCTGGGCACTGTGGGGGAGGACAAGGCTCTGGGCACTGTGGGGGTGGGCACACAGGAGGAGGCTGGCAGGGCTGCTTGCACTGCTGCTGTTGGTAAGACATCGTGCTGAAGTCTCAGAATCTGAAAGACATTACATACCAGTTCTCTCAAGAGGTGATTCTTACAGAGGAAGCTGGTTTATAGAATTCTGGACAGTAATTCTCTCACATACACACATTACTCCCCAACTCTTCTTCTTTTAGAACTTCCTGGATTTTCCCTTCCAACTTAGTGATTTGTTGCATTTAACTTTAGGTCCTTCTTAGGTTGCATTCCCCATACCCAGAAATATCTTTTCTCCAAAGACATATTTTGCTTGTACAAAATAAAATATTCAAAAACAGCATTCCCACTTTCTAAAACCCTATATAATCTCAAAACCAATCCTTATCACATTAGCTCCTGTGAAATCCCAGAAGATGGGTTTCACTTCAGAGGACACCTAGGAAAATTCAAGGGTCTAACACCTGTTAAGACATAAGCCTTTGAAAGGGGCACCAAAATGTAAGAATATAAAAAATAGTCAATTATGGAAGCCACCATTTTCAAAGCAATTCTTCCCTATTGTCTTGATTTTCCACATGGGCATTAATCACCTACATACAAAGGCAAAAGAAAACTGTCATAGAGTATCACTCTACTACATTGCTAAATTTAAGATTTGTCACTAACATGGAACACATGACCACAATTTGGAATCACCAACCTATTTTCTCTAAGTTAAACTACATGAGAAGGTCATAAACAGAGAACAAGTCAGGAAGTCAGACACACCAGGTTGTCTGTAGTCTGGGGCTTGAGTACCAAGTGTGTCACAGTCATTCATCCTAGCTCTTTTTTATAAGACTAGCTGCCCCACCCAGTAGGATGTACAGCCGCTTAATGGTGGACTGATCCAACAATTTCCTAACCAAAGTGCAAATCCATGTATAACTGGCTTAACCAGGACTCTCCAAAATAGAAAATAGCCCGTTCTTGGACATAGTCACTGGGTTGATTGCAGTGACTCAGAGGCCATTCCCTTTTTTCTTGGTTTCAGTGTTTTGTTGCAGCTGGAAAAACTGGGGGTTTCATAACTGGCTGTCAAAAAATATCTTTCTTGGTTTTAGACACTATCTTTTGTGTCTATTCTGGATCTAAAGGCCATCTACTTCAGCTGCTTGTCATTTTTGTAGCTCTTAGATTTATTTATTCTCATAAGACTAAGACCTAGTCTGCCTTCTCAATTGTGGAATTTTATAACTATTTTGAAATAAAGCTATATATAATTAATGTGTTTATGAACCTTGTCCTTTCTCATTCTTTTAGTAGTCTAAGAAGACTAATTGTAAATAAATTACGTGTTTAAAGTACTGTTGTTATTATAGCTTTCTTGTCTTGATGAAGTTGTTAATAAGGCTTCCAATAGTCAATGTAATTGAATTTTAACTTAAAAATAAAATAGAATGTACAAAATAATATCACTTTGTAATTAGAGATAAAAGAAAAGACTGAGGAAGATGAAATAAAATTTTAACTAGCCCCAGCTCTGATCTGAGAAGCACACAGGCACTGAATCAAACACAGTGATGTATGTCAGCTTCCTATGACTGTTGATGCTTATGACAATAAGGAAAGGTTTAGTCAAGAATGTCACTCCCCAAGTCACTAGAGGGAAAAAATCATCAGTTCAGCACCTGAGGCTAAGTAACTCCACTAGTGGATGGCTCACACAGGCTAGTGCACATACCACAGAGCAAAGTCAATAGAATTCATTCAGTATGTCACTTACTGCTTTTCATAGCCTCAATCACATCTAAATCATTCATATGAAGAAAATGTTTGATTTCTGATAACCAAAATTAGAAAATTATCTGGCCAGCTGGGATTGTAGTGCCATATAGTATCATTTGAGTTATTCTTGGGGCTCTTCTTGTTCTAGATACCTCATAACAAAGGAATAAAGAGTTAAAGGGCAATGATAAACTATGAAGAGTTAGATTGGAATGGGAATTCAGGATAAAGGAGGAAATATGGAGAGGGATAACCAATGCTAAAGGAGAGTTGATAAAACCAATTGGATGCCTATTGCTATAGAAGCTTCCAAAAACTAACATATATACATGTATAAAATACTTTTAATAAGGTTACCTCACAATACTGTAACCAGAACCAGGTAAGAAATATCTCTTTTGAATTGCTTGTCAATGGGGTCCCATAGACCACCAAACATTTTAGGCTATTGACAATACTCTTTGTTATCCTCCAGAACGCTATTGTTTGACTCTCTATCGTTGAAGATATCACATGTTTGAGTTGCAGAATAAGGAGAGATAAAGCAGATACTCAGTTGGAAACCTTGTCTCTACTATGTTACAAGAAGTTTGCCCACCAGCCTGGTCCCAGAGTCCCGTCAGTCCCAAATAACACAGAGAGACGCTGTATTAGATATAAAGCAGTTGGCCTGTTGCTAGTGTTTCTTATTGGCTAGCTCTGTCTTAAATATTAACCCATTTCTATCAATCTAAGTGTTTCCATGTGGTCTTATTTTACCAGAGAGAGGGTTCCGACCTCCTCTCAACTCCCTACATCTTGACTCTCCTCCACTACATCTCCCAGAATCTTCCTTGTCTCCTAGTCCTGCCTATCTTGCCTTCCTATTTGCCAACAGTGCTTTATGTATTAACCAATAAGAGAAACATATTTAGAGAATGACATCTCTCATTATCTCCTCTTTTTGTCTAAAATAAAAAGGGTTTTAACTTTAACACAGTAAAATATATACCAAAACAGTTATCAAATAATAACTATTGTTAATAATATTTAATCCATTAACATTTAGCAAGATTTAAAGAAAATATTCCATCATCTATCCTATCTTTGTGAGTGTAAAGTCTTATATGTAACTTATCTTTAATCCTAACTAAGGAAAACTATGACCATAACTATCTGTCTTCAACTCCCACAAAGACCACAGAAGGATAGTTATAAATTCTAAAAGTGACAGAGACAACTCGCTGCCTGGTCAGTCACCCGAAGTTCTTCTGTAATCTTCCATTTTCAGCCTTTAGGCAAATAGTGTGTCTGGCAGACTTCTTAGCAAAGCAGGAAATTTCAAACTGTCCCACCTGTGTTGCCAGTTTGTCAGTCACTTTTCTCTGTGTCCTTTAGAATGTCTAGCAGACTCTTCCATGAAGTAGGAACTCTACAACAATGTCTATCTTGTTTCAGCAGTCACTTTTCTGTGGGTCCTGCATGTCCAGTTTATACAGCAAAAAGTCAAACAGTCCAGACAAAAGCAGTATCTTGCCCAAATGGCTAGTCTTGCCATATTTGATATAAACTCCATAATGACTTTCTTTGATGTCCATCTTCCTTTCTGATGCAGGTGGTGTTGCCAGGAGCAGTTATGTCTCACTGTCAATAAAAACCCTAAAACATTTTAAATGCCATATTCAGTAGGTCTTTGAGAGGTTTAAAGAATGCCTGTCCATATCTAGAAAACCTAACTTAACTGTGAGTTTTGACTATTATAAGTGACTATCTACAATCTGCACTAATTACATTTTTAAATGAGCTATATAAACACAATACCTAAACAGGAGGAGAAATATACATGTCACAAAACTGATCTTAAATTTGTCTCAATAAATGAAAATCCATTCCAAAACAAAGTATTCATTTCTGTGCCATAACCCCCTTTTTTACCTTTTAAAAAGAGATTGTTTGTGATCATTAATCATTTATAACCAACCCCATTTAAATGAAAAGAGTTATAAAAATACTTGGGAATTTGGGCATCATTCTTTCCAAACTGCTTCTTGCTGATAGAGGGCACTGTCATGGGGATCCTAAGAAGATGAAAAAATTCTGTCTATACTGGTCTGCAAGACTGCCTTGTCCCAGATGTCTTGAATGCTGGATCACCTGGACACTGCTTAAGGGGGTCTTGCTTGATCAAACCATGTTAGTCTGGAAGGAATACATACCTTTTCATTTTCTGTGGAAACAAAAATAGAAATTCTTTTCCCCAGTAACCTATCCTTAGACTTAAATTTTGAAGTCAAGGCATTTTTTAAATGTATAAATTGGATTAATTCAGCAGCATTTCTTTTAACAATTGGTGTTGCTATTTTCTCAGCCATCAAACAATACAAAGACAACACAATAGCATATAGTACCCAGACTCTCTTTGTACTTTCCCTCTCCACATGGCTTTCTTATTATTCTATTTTACTTCTATTTTTTTTTTCATTTATTTAAACAGGGTTCATCTATGTAACTTTGACTGCCCTGGAATTTGCTCTGTGCAACAGGTTCACTTAGAAATCACAGAGATTTGCTTGCCTCTGCCTCTGGAGTGCTGGAACTACAGGTGTGTGTCACCACACCCAGCTACTCTCTTTCTTTCTTTTTTTAAACCACTTTATCCTGTTTCATTTTCTCTCCAAATCCTACATGTATTTTAAACACACTGTAAACCTTTAGAAGTTTGTCTTTATCTGAACCTGTCTTTACTGTAAATCTTTATTTTTTTCTAGCCACTAGTCTTTTATCTGCTAAACAACAGCATTGCTAAAATGAAAGACACAGTTGTTTTAGCTGCCATCTATCCAAGATGGCAGGGGTATGTTTACTGCCAGCACTGAGAGCTGTGCTCACTGCCTTGGTCTATGCTGCCATCCAGCAGCATGGTGCCAGCTTGGAGATGTTGTCACTGCCTGTACACACTATTCAGTTGTTAGCAGGGTCTGTTAAAAAAGAACCTTGCAGTTTTGTTCTGCTTCTGCCAAGTCAGAAAACCTCCCTTAAAGGAACTGTACAAATCTCTTCTTGTCTCTAGCAAAACAGAGCTCACCCGAGAAAATTGCTGCTACAAAGACTTTCTTGTCTCTATTCTTTTGTTTCTAAAATCACTTTTTAAGCTTTTGTCAAGTTTTAAGTGAAAGTTCTTAGTACCCATGTTGTGTTGTAGGCGCCATTTTGTTATGAGCAGTTTACCCAACAGCCTGCTCCCAGAGTCTTGTCAGTCCCAAATAACACACAGAGATGCTGTATTAGATATAAAGCTATTGGCCTGTTACTAGTGTTTCTTATTGGTTAGCTCTGTCTTAAATATTAACCCATTTCTATCAATCTAAGTGTTTCCATGTGGTCTTATCTTACTGGAGAGAGGGTCCACACCTCTTCTCTCCAATCCCTACATCTTGACTCTCCTCTACTACATCTCCCAGAATCCTCCTTGTCTCCTAATCGCCTCTCTTGCTTTCTCGTTGGCCAACAGTGGTTTATTCACTAACCAATAAGAGAAACATATTTACAGAATGACATCTCCCATCACTACTAACTAGCTTTCATGACTCTGAAATTTCATGTGCTTGATACCAGAGGATAAAAACAATCATCAGACTTACTCATCTGTGAAAACTTATGAGTTACAATGACTGGCCCGAAAAAATATACTATGGGAGTAACCCACTGCTTTATGATTATATCTAAAAACTTGCTCAATGAGTATCTGGTTTTGGTACTGTGAATGCAGCCAAGAAGCTGTGGCTGAGTAAGTCATGGGCCCTTATTCTGCTAAATAGCTATAAAATCAAATGATTCTACATGGCTTATTCCTAGAGCCATAGATCAGTGCATCATTTGTTCTGCATCAGAAAACTTTCTTTTCACAATATGATAATTAACACAGAGCTCCTCAAGTGGTCAATGTACAGAGAATAGCAGTCTTGGGAGTTCTCAGTATTTTGTATACTGTTGGATTGAGTGGGAAGATTATAAGAATCAGAGATTGTGGATAACATCAAGGAAACAGTGTTTCCCAAACA